TAATTCTTATCTGTCCATACAGGTTGTCAGGCTGCATTTGCTTTTGACCGTGAAAGAATCAGCAATCGATGTTCCTACAAATATAGAGGCTCGTCGAAGGACTACTTTCTTTGCGAATTCTTTATTTATGACCATGCCCAATGCCCCAAAAGTTCGTAATATGCTATCTTTTAGGTGAGTTTTCTTTCATCTTGAAAACCTCACTTTCATGTGCTCTTGATTCTTATTTCTTGTAATCTTTTGATACAGAATTTTGGGTCATAAAAAGTCTTTCCTCTTGATGGCAAAATATTGTGGTCAGGTGAAGGGAGAAAAAGTTAGGATATGCTTATCTCAGAAATTGATTTGGTTATTGGCCTACATTAAACTTAGGACACAAATAATGCAATATCATGAAAACCTACACTATGCATAAAAGTGTTCTATTTTGGTTTTTAGATCTGATTCAAAATGGAATAATTCTGTTCACTCTCACGAATTGTTAAATCCCATAGTTTTGCAGCCGGTAGTTCATGAAAAAGGAAAATTAGGGCCGTAGGCTAGAGTCATGATCTGTGGTATTATTCCATAGTGCATAAAAGAAACATTATATAGTAAGATCACAATGCTTGCTTCTTTTCTTATCTGTTTTAATTCTTTTATATACTTGTTTGAAATCGGTTAGCATATCCTTAGCATTCTTATAATTAAAAAATATGACCACCTTTACATGTAGTATCCAAGTGCTTTCTTTATTGGATGTTATTTTATTTCAGTTGAAAATGGATGACCCATACGTGATACGTACGAGTAATTGTTTTGGCTTTCTAGCAAATTCTAATAAAAATATCATATCTGTTTTGGTGTCCAGTGTATTGACACCATACTACAGAGAACCGGTTCTTTATTCGACAGAAGAGCTTAACAAGGAAAATGAAGATGGCATTACGACTCTTTTCTATCTTCAGAAAATATATCCCGGTGAGCTTAAATTCATTTCTTCTGTCAGGGCTGCAAACAAGCGAGCTTGGACATGTGCACCTTCATTTAATTGATAATGAACATGTTGAAGAACAATCATGCACTGTTCGTGAACATGTTCATTGGTTGTTCATGCCGAAATTTTCATTAAATTAAAATTTTTTATCCATGACATTCATCAGGTTTAAGTAAACATTATCATAATTAGTCCAAATATAGATAATTATATCAAATATATCAACAAGAAAATACACTTATTTCTACACGTGATTGATGAATATAGTCAGATATATAATTAATTAATAGTAAATTAACAAATGGTAGACGAACATTAGATGAGCATGTTTAAGATCATGTTTGCGAACATAATTCATAAATCCAACAACTTTTCTTCTCACTTATTTTCATTAAGCTTAACAAAACTTATTCTCATTAAGATTAACAAACGAAAATTGTCAAGAACTAACCAGCACGATTGCAAACTGTTCACCAAAACTTGAACTCTTTGCTTATTAGCAGCCATGCTCTCTTCATAAAAAGATGTTGATGGTTCTTTCCTACAATAATTTATTATTATCCATCTCACAGATGAATGGAACAATTATCAAGAGCGGATCCAAGATGCCAAATTTGATAACCAAAATAAAGACCCGTCAGAATTAGATCGTCAATGGGTATCTTACAGGGGTCAGACACTTGCTCGTACAGGTCAGACCTTGCTCATAAAAGCAGTTAATGGTGTGCATTTTTCTTGGCCATTGTTTAATAATTACTTTCTTGTTTGCACTAGTGAGAGGGATGATGTACTACCGTGAGACTTTGGAACTTCAGTGCTTTTTGGATTTTGCTGACGATAATGGTTGGTGGGAATTATCTTTTATTTGGTTTTCACAATATTTCTCTTTTAACTAATTAAACCATTATTGTTCCATGCAGCCTTTATTAATGAACACACTTTTTCTATTTCTTTGCAGCTATTTTTGGTGGATACCGGGCAATTGATATAAATCACAGAGATTACAGAACTCTCAAGGAACGAGCACAAGCTTTAGCAGATCTGAAATTCACTTATGTTGTATCTTGTCAGGTCTATGGTGCTCAGAAGAAATCTAGTGACCCTCAAGACCGGAGTTGTTATGTCAATATCTTGAATCTTATGCTCACGTAAGTTGTACTTTGTTGATAAATACTAAAATGCATATTCAATCTGATTTATTGACATTTTTCTGAAATTTTTAAATAAATCTTCAAGGTATCCGTCTCTACGTATTGCTTATATAGATGAAAGGGAGGAAACAATTAATGGAAAAACTGAGAAGGTCTATTATTCTGTCCTGGTCAAGGGGGGTGAGAAATTGGATGAGGTGAGAGATTAAACATAATGGACTTCAACAGCAACATCTTCTGCATTTTGATCAGTAATAATTATATATTTTACAATATCAGGAAATATACCGTATCAAGCTTCCAGGTCCTCCAACAGCAATTGGTGAAGGGAAACCTGAGAATCAAAATCATGCAATCATTTTTACTCGTGGAGAAGCCCTGCAAACCATAGATATGAATCAGGTTGAGTTATGATTTATCCTTTTATCTTGATATTAGAGAGGAATACTAAGGAAGTACATGTTCCAATATGATTAGTTGCATTATCAGAGAAGGAGCAAGAAACTGGATATCACCATCTATGCCAGTTTAACACTATTCTTTTGCATGATTATTTCCCCTCAGGATAATTATTTTGAGGAAGCTTTCAAGATGCGTAATGTTTTGGAGGAATTTTTAAGACCTCGTCGTGGACAACGAAAACCTACAATTTTGGGTCTAAGAGAGCATATTTTCACAGGGAGGTCTGTTTTCAATTTCAATCCACTAAAGAGATGAAATCTGTTATGATATACATATGCTTACTTTTTCCTTTTCATTGTAGTGTTTCTTCACTCGCTTGGTTCATGTCCAATCAAGAAACCAGTTTTGTGACAATTGGGCAAAGAATTTTGGCAAACCCCCTGAGGTACATGTGTACTTTTAACAGCCATCTACTTTAGTCTTTGAGTTTTATTTTTGTTGTATGTGGTGTTGATATGATAGTTAAGTCTGGGTTGTTAGTGAATATTCTACACTTTAATGAAGTTTGATGGTCAAGTTGAGAAAAAATCAAAATACCTGAAGAGGTCAATAAATTGTGAAGAAACATAAAAATCTTCCATGTCAGATTGTGAGAAATTTGTGAACCAACAAATATTTATTACGCGTCACAAAGTTATTAAAGAGATGAAACTTGCTGTGTCGCCCTATTTAATCAACTAATGATAAACAAGAAAAAAGAAACATGTCACATTGTGAGAATTTTGTGAAAGAGAAAAAGGAACCAACTTTTTATTAGTTGTGAAAGAGTATTGTGGCACCCTGAAAAAGGTCATCAAATTCTGAAGAAAACATAAAATCTTCCATGTCAGATTGTGAGAATTTTGTGAAAGAGAAAGAGGAACCAAAAAACTTTTATTTCACAGCACGAAGTTATTAAAGAGATGAAAATTGCCGTGGCACCCTATTTACAACTAATAAACAGGAAAAACATGAGAGTTATGCTGTCTCTGCTTGTCCTTCTCATTAGGACAAGGAAATAAAAGAATCTTTTACTATTCAATTAAATTGCATTGGAAACACAAGATGGACTACAAGTGAAGAAACTGGTAGTCTTGATACTTTTGGGACGATTGAATCTGACAATATTTTGATCTCTATCATCTATACCAGTTTGTCATGAAGTTTGATGGGTTATCTTGATAATTAGCAGACTCTGATTATTAAATCATCCATTTACTTTTGCAGGGTAAGATTCCACTATGGACATCCTGATATTTTCGACAGAATCTTTCACTTGACAAGAGGAGGGATGAGCAAAGCTTCGAAAACAATCAACCTGAGTGAAGACATCTTTTCTGGTAATAATCTACTCAAATCATTCTCAGACGTAATGTTTTCTCATCCTTATTTGAACTCTTCGACTGAGTTTACTACACTCAGGTTACAATTCGACACTAAGAAGAGGCTTTGTAACACATCACGAGTATATCCAAGTAGGCAAGGGCCGAGACGTCGGTATGAACCAGATATCTCTTTTCGAGGCAAAAGTCGCTAACGGCAATGGAGAACAGACGCTCAGTCGAGACGTCTTCCGACTTGGACGCCAATTCGATTTCTACCGAATGTTGTCCTTTTACTTCACTACAGTTGGTTTTTACTTCAGCAGCATGGTAAGTCATATTTCAATCGTCTAATCTAATCTGATCATCCTCTTTCAGATGAATGCATATCAAACTGGTACATCCTCTTTCAGGTTACTGTGCTCACTGTCTATGTCTTCTTATACGGACGATTGTACATGGTGTTGAGTGGTCTGGAAAGGCGTATTCTGGAAGACCCATTCATGGGCCAAAGTAATGCTCTAGAGGAGGCTCTCGCAACACAGTCTTTCTTCCAGCTGGGCTTGCTGCTCGTTCTCCCCATGGTTATGGAGATTGGGCTCGAGAGAGGATTTCGAAGCGCCATTGGCGATTTCATAGTCATGCAGCTCCAGCTGGCATCAGTCTTCTTCACATTCCAGCTCGGGACAAAAGCGCACTATTACGGGCGTACCCTTTTGCACGGCGGCTCCAAATACCGGGCCACAGGGCGCGGTTTTGTCGTTTTCCATGCAAAGTTTGCTGAGAACTACAGAATCTACTCGCGCAGCCATTTTGTGAAGGGGCTGGAGCTTTTCATACTGCTGATAGTTTACGAGGTGTATGGCCACTCGGCACGTGGCTCCTCGTCTCTGTACTTCTTCATTACTTTCTCGATGTGGTTTCTTGTGGCCTCGTGGCTTTTTGCTCCGTTTGTTTTCAACCCGTCAGGGTTCGAGTGGCAAAAGACGGTGGAGGACTGGTCGAATTGGAAAAGGTGGATGGGAAATCGTGGAGGGATCGGAATCTCGCCTGATAAGAGTTGGGAGTCGTGGTGGAACGAGGAGCAGGATCACTTGAAGTATACTAATATAAGGGGTCGGGTGCTCGAGATTATCCTTGCTTGCCGTTTTTTCATCTACCAATATGGGATTGTGTATCGGCTTCGGATATCGCATGGCAGCACGGATATTTTGGTACAAAGGACCACCATAAAATAATTTCTGTTGCTCTTTTTTCATTTCTTCTTTTCTTTGTGTTTTTGGGTATTTGATGTTTCCTTTTCCCCCTATCCTTTGTTTTTTTTTTGTGTGCTTATGGTTCTGTTTAAAATCATGGTTGTAGGTTTACGGCTT